ATCTGCAGCCTCTTCGAATTCTTAGACTGGACCCAAAGGGCAGTCCTGGCAGCAGGCACTGCTGTCCACCCCTTCGCCCCGGCTGCTGCTCAGTTGGCCAGGGCCAGCTTTAACAAGCTAACCTGGCCAGAAGCACCAGGGCTGGGCCCTGGGAAGGGTGGTGCTGAGCTATGGATGCTGGACCAGCAAAACAATCAGGACGGGTGAGGGCTGAGATTTGGCTCCATTGAAATAACGGTCTATGGAGCCAGCAGATGGCACCATGGTTACTTCCCTGGACTCCCACATAGTCCACCACAGTTCAAGTCCCAGACCCAGCAGCTTCAAACTCCTGTCAGGCATGTGTGCGTGCGTGCCCAAAATCCCGAGAGGAGAATGGAGGAGAAGGGACTGCGGCGTGGCCATCCCCCCGGGGGGTGATTTCTCAGTTTCTGTCTCTCTGTCCCTCTGTCTCTTGCCGGTGAGTGCACACAGCCTATAGCAAAAATTTCTCTTAAAAAAAAGGGGGGGAGAAGAATAACCCACTCAGTGGGACCCCTGGAGACCAAGTGGGCGTGTAAGCACTGACACAGCAGCTCAACACTCACACTTTTGCCCAAACGTGTGTGCACAAGCATGCACTGACACACCCACAGTCGCCTGCACTCTCATGACTCATTCCCCCTGGCACACATAGTGCACTCACACGTGCACACACAGGACAAGGATGCATTCACGTATGGCCACACTCAGTAACGTAGCAAGGGCCTGTGTGTGATTTGTGATGAGTTTGGTTTTCCTAATGAATATTTTTTGCAAAACTAATTAGGAGGGATTGAAGCCCAGAGCAGAGCTAATGAGCTATGCAAATACCCTGGCATCAGCCCGGCTGGTGATGTGCAGGGATGTCTCAAGCTAGAGTCGGGGAAGAGACTCTCGCCCCCGCCTGGGGCTCTCTCTACAGCAGGGAGACCCAGTACAGGTCTTGCAGCCTCCTCCCCTCAGGGGACTGCAGCTGGGAAGGAGGGGTAGCTGGGGGCACCCTGTGGAGGGAGTGGTGCCTTTGAGCATTGGGCCTCAAACTTCAGCCTCGGACCCCCTGGAGGGCTGCCCCCACTTCCTGGGCTTAACTCCTGAGGTCTGGGCTGGGATCTGAGACTCTGCATTTCTTAAAAAGCTCCCAGGTGATGCTTCCGGTCTAGGGGCCACACTCTGGGACGCCCGCCTTTGAGGCGTCCCACTGCAGCCTCTGCTTCAAGAAGGTACCTACCTGGGATATGAGCTCATAGGGTTTGAGTGAACATGGGGTTGACCCAGGAGACTCCAAAGACTGTCTAGACCCGGCCCTCCGCGAGAAAGGGCCATCACATCAAAGAGGATTGAAACCCTCGGAGTCCAACAAGCAGAGACCCCTGCCTCAATTTCATGTCTTATCTGGGCAGCGGTCAAGCTCGTTCCCTCCCTGAGCCTGGGCAGCTGGGACCCCCATTGGACCAAGGAGGATCTTAAGGTTCAGAGAGGCAAAGGAGTCCACATGCCTGTGGTCACCCAAGGAGAGCTGGGGTCTTTGCTCAGGTTCCCAGCCACCCTTTGCAGTAAGCTTTCTGCTCTGCCTCACAGGGACAAAGTCCAAAGAAGTCCTCCGAAGGGTTCAGAGGATATGGCTGTCATGACGAAATCTGGCACCCCCCACAGGTTGCATCAGTAGCATTAAGCCCCAGGAACTGAGCTTCCGGCTCTTCCCACGTTGTCCCTCTAAGCCTCACAACATACTGTAGAGAAAAGCCCCAGCCCTCTCTCAGCCCCAGCGAGCCATGGAGCCGTGGCCACACACACGCCGGGGAAGGAGGCAGGTGCCATGCCACGCAGAACCACTGCAGACCAGGCTGCTTCCCTCCACCCACCTGGCTGGCCCCATTGGTGGCCTGGCCTGCCACAGTGCCACGCCCTGGTCCTCACACCTCACAGCTGCCTGTGGAATGCTGCTGTCACCAGGGTCAGTAGGCAGGACTGTGGGGGGCTGGGGGTGGCTCCTTGGACAAGCGTCTCCCTCAGGTTAAAGGCACTTGTTCTTGGAATTAACCTGGCAACACACAGGAGAAACTCAACAGCCACCTCCCCCCTCACCGCCTCTCCCGGCCCCTTCTCCGGACTGCCCTGGCTGGGACTCGGAGCTTCCATTCCTAAGCTAATCAGCAACAGCTGGTCCAGTCGGTGACCAAGGTGGGCCAGGCCAGGCCAGGGCAGGACACGGGAAGGAACTCCAGCCCCCGGAGCATGAGCAAACCTGCGGAACTTGCACCCTTGCTCCACACACGCTGGGCCTCAGACCGCTGGACACAGATGCCCACAGGCGAGACGTTTGCTCATCACATATTGACACCCACAGTCCACCAAGCACACCACAACCTTACAGTAACCCCGCCACGTCACCGGTTTACAGGAAGGACACAGACACCAGGAGGGAAGCGCCTTGCTAAAGCTCACCCAGCTGGCAACTGAGCCGGGATTTGAACCTATTCCACTTTGACTTTAAAGCCTGTTTGTCCCTACTTTGTTATACCTTCCTCATGAATTGTCTTCCTTGAGAACTCCTACCCATCCCTCAAAGCCTGGCGTCCCAGGGTCACCCCATGTAACGGCACTATTTCCACAACGCCATCCCCAGTTCTCTCGCTCCCCCTCACCTGGCCAGGGCTCGTCATTCTTATCTCCGTTCTAGACGAAGCCTGGACTTAGCGGGTGACTTCTGGCTGGAGGCCCAGGAAAGCCTGCACTCTGCTAACGAGCCCTCTTCCTTAAACCGGCAGCCCCAACCTTTTCGGCACCAGGGTCCGGTGTCGTGGAAGACAATTTTTCCATGGACTCTGGGTGGGAGGAACGGGGTCGGGATGATCCCAGCACATCACACATACCGTGCACTCAATTTCTGATATTCGGCTCATGGTAGGGTTCGTGCTGTGAGAAAAAGCAGTCGCTGATCCAGCAGGGGGCGGTCATGTGAGCAAGGGGGAGTGTCTGTAAATGCCGAGGAAGCCTGGCTTCCCGCTACTTACCCCCTGCCCTGCAGCCTGGGTCCCGACAGGGACTGGAGCCCCATCTTTAACCACAAATGCAAGGGATAATAGCGAAGTGACCACTTACTATTAGCAGGACCGGTGCCCGATGTCCCCAGGGCAGCACTCCTGCCACACCCCTACCCCTGAACCTCACCGCCACGAGCGGGGCGGTGATCACAAGACATGTCCGAGACATCCCTCACACCCCTCCCTCCAGGAGACGGAGGCGAATTCCCCTTTCCTTGAGTGTGGGCTGGACTTAGCGACTTGCTTCCAACGAAGCAATGGGACAAAAAGAGTACAACTAACCAGAAACCAAGCCTAGGCGCTGTGTCTTGTTCGTCGCTCACGCTTTCCTGGACCACATCCTGGGAGAAGTCACACCACAAGGACGTCCGGATAGGACGTGGCAAGGAACGAAGACCTCCTAGCGACAGTGAGGAATGGCCGTGCGCCTGCAGCCATGTGGGTGAGCCACCCTGGAGTCAGCCCCTCCAGCCCCAGCTGACATTCTGACACAGCCCCGTCATCACTTTGGCCCAGAGCCACACCCCCTAAGCCACTCCCAAATTCTGCCCCTCAGAGACTATGACTAATCGGTTTGCTGTTTTAAGGCCACCAAGCGTTGGGGGCATTTGTTACACAGCAATAGAGAGCCAAAGCGGTGGCCAGGCCCCATGAGCAGGGACGCCATTGGAGGATGGGTTGAAAAGGGTGAGGCTGGATGCCGGGCTCTGCTTTGGGCTCTAAAATTTCGACATGGCTTAGGCTGCTATTCCACTCGGAATGGGCTGCAGGGGGCCTTGTCTGAAGGCTCGTTTTCATAACAAACTCATTGCTTTGATTTCAAATTTTATCCCAGAGTCATTTTGGAGGGGAAATGCTGATGGAGGTTGTGGGGGGCTCAAGTCCCCCAAAGTTGCATCTCGACACTAACACTATTGGCTCAGCTCTTAATCCCACCTCCAGAGCCTTTCCCTGGGGAGGCAAGAAGGGACAAGCTCCAAAGAAGCCCTTCGTAACCTTGACTGCCAGGACTAGCTCAGGACCCTCCTGGTCTCACCCAGCCTGGGCTCTTTGTGTTTACATCTATTAGAAATGACGACGAGGGCCAGCCCCGTGGAGCAGCAGTTGGTGCAGTGCTCAGAGAGCTGGATCCCACATGCGACTGTGGTTCACACCCCGGCACCAGTGCCCTGAGAGTGCGCCAGGTGCATGTGTGTGCATGCCCAAGAGCTCAGTGGGATGGAGAAGTGGAGAGGAACCGCAGCGTGACTGCCACTCTCCCTCTCTGTCTCCCTCTAGCAAGTACACGCACCCACTGACACATAATAATAATACTAATAATAATGAAGTGCTGACCGAGAGGCCGGAGAGAGGCCTCCCTGGGTACTCTGGGCACACAGGTGCCCGCGGCCTAGCTGAAGCTGGGATGCACCATGGCATCAAGAGCCTGTTGGATTTCTCTCTCTCTCCCGTGAAATAGATCCACTTAGAGAGCATGACGATGTAATCATGAGGGCGGCATAAATATCCTGTCCCTCCACCTTCCCTGCCCGTCAACTCCAGGGGAACAGGGCCCCGCCTGCTTGCTCCCCACTGGATCCTCAACACCGATGCTCAAAAGTTCCGTTCCGAGTGACAGCTACTAACCGCCCAAGAACCCGACATCAGAAATGACCTTCAGCTACAGGCAAAGTCTTCCACCACCCCATTGCCTGCCTCGACAGGAGCGTGGCTTGTCACCCGGACACACGGCAGCCTGGGGACACGCACACAACCACACACCCTCACTTTCAGGCACGTGGCATGCTGTCACCTATAGCTACACGCAGGCACATGGGGCCACTTGGTCACACGCAGGCAGAGGGCAGTGCGTTCCCTCCCGCCCACTCACACTCCACGCGCAGACACACGCGTGCAGACTCATTAACTCACTCGCGGGAGTCACACAGTGTGACAGCATGACACGCACCGCAGCCAGTCACACACTCACACCCACACCCTAGCACACCTGGGGCCACACGTGCTGTCACACCGTGTACGTGCAGGGCAGCGCGCCTCACCACGCCCCTGTGTAACCCATGCACTCACACGCACAGCGGGGCCACTGCAGCGGCCACTTCTAAAAGCTGGGGGAGGACAGCCCTGCTCTGCCCTCGGAGTGCTCTCTCCCCAGCACCCCGGGTCTCTGCCTTCCAGCCCACTCTGCCCCTCCTTGGCCATCTGCCCTCCAGCCCAGTTCATCCCCGCTCCCAGGTCGTAGTTCAAGGCTAGAGCAGCCGGGAAAGGCACGACTGAGGCTGGCCAGGGCCCACTGGGCAGCACTGTTTACCACCGCACGGCCGCCTGGTGATTACTGCTTTTTATGCATTTCCATATAAAATGACTCACTCCATTCGGGAAGAATTTTAATGAGAAAGCCCCACCAACAATGAGACCAGCTGGGTAATGAGGAACCTCTGTCGTTACTAGATGTGAGCACACCCCACGTGGAAAGAGGAAGGTGATCACACGCAGGAGCCAAGCTTGCTGGGGGGTGCTGGGAGAACTCCCGGAAAGGGCCCCGGTGGGCGTGTCCGTGTGTGAGATGTGCTTGCTCAGGTGTGTCTCTAAGTTTCGTGTTTGTGGGGCGTGTGTGTCTATTCCGGTTTTCTGTTGCTGCATAACAAATTACTCAAAATGAAGCGGCTAAAACAATCATCGCTTTATTGTAAAGCACTATTTTAGGGACTGAAAGTCGGGGCTCGGTCCTGCTGGGAAGTGCTCCCGTGTCCCCCGGAGTGTCAGTGGGAATGGCAGGGATGAGCCAGAGGGTGGAGAGGGCTAGAGAGCCGAGACGGTTTCCCGCACACTTGCCAGGACAGGCTCGACCGCCGAGAGCACCAGCAGGACCCCGGCAGGACTGTCACAGGGTCCTGACTTCCAGCATGGAGGCTGGGAGCTGAGAGAGAGAGAGTCCTAACGGGCGGGAGCTATACAAAGATCCCTAGGACTAGCCTCAGCAGTCTGTAAGCCCAGCCCGGGGTCACCGGGAGGAATTAGACTTGACCTTTCAACAGGAAGAGTGGTAAACTGGGCAGCCGTCTGTAACCCACCACACTTAACCCTTAACCTTGCGGGGAGAGGCCCTGGATTCCAGAGGGCGTTAGAGGTTTGAATCCCTCCGCCTCAGTTCACAAACTGTATGGCTTTCGGCAACCCCATAACTTCTCGGAGCCTCAGTTCCCGTGTGTCAAATGCGGTTGCTGTGAGGACTTGCGTGTCAGCTTCAGTCCATCTACGGCGGCGACCTAGGTGCCCACGGCCCGGGCACCTCCTCCCACTCTCCCTTGCCCTCCTGCCCGGGGCCACACACCTGCGGTGATTCTTGTACCGGGAATGGGCAGGGGCACTCCTTGGACTCCTGACAGGCTCCTGAGGTCACATCAGAACCCAGCCCCCAGCAGCCTGCCTCTACACCATCTACACTGGCACCAAGGCCCAGGGTGAGCCCTCGAGCTTCCACCATCTGCTCCAGCTGGGTTTAGCTAGAGGCAGCTTCATCGGTTCAGGGCTGTCCTTGGCTAACAATGGCGTTAATTTTTCATTTGTTTGTTTGATTTTCCGCAGTGAATGAGGAATGTTGGGAGGACATCTGGAGCTGCCCCAGGCTGCGGGACGCAGAGCACAGTGGCAGCGATGACAGCTCAGAACACAGCACTCACACGGCAGGCACATCCACACACCCACAAACACACAGATCTGGTACACACTTGCATGTCTGCATGCACTCATACATGTGTGCATGTGTGCATGCTTCTACACACATGCAAACACACCAAACCTATACATAGGTGCTCCTGTGCATGTGTGTGCGTTCACACACATGAACCCTTATTTGTGTGGCCATGCCTACATGCTTACACACACTTGCACATACACAGTATCATGGCCACGTCACCAGGATTTAGCTAAGGCTTCAGTCCCTAGAACGTCCCCATGAGCTCTGTTCTGCTGTTCTGTACCCAGAGTCAGGCCAGTGACAGCCGGGTCTGCCCTGCAGCTCAGAGTGGGATTCCACCTCCCCCGCACCACCTGCAGACACGGGCTCTGGGGCTCCCCGCCACTCCCTGCCCTGCTCCCACCCCAGTCTTCACCCTGCCCACGAGCCTTCCTATGGCCTGACCCTGTCCCAGGCCTGACAGAACAGCTGCCCTCCCTGCCATGCACCCCAGGCTGGAGACCCATAGCACGGGACAGTCACACCCTCCCTCACAGTCTGCACAATTATGGAACGAGAGGCATGGCGCAAAACCATCCCCAGAGGCCAGCTCGCCCCAGGGACCCAGGCTCGTGTGCGCAGGCCCATGTACACCCGGGGGGTGGGCTGCGTGTCTGCTTATGCCTGCAAACATCTGCACGTGTGTGTGTGTGTGCACGTGTTCATGGACCTGTACTGCCAGGTCTGCCTCTCCATGGCAGAGCGTCTGCACGTCGCTGGGTCTGTGACTACACGTGTCTGTCATCTACTCTTGTAAGTGTGCCTACGGGTTTCTGTGTCTGTCTGTGTGCTTCCCGGTCACTGTGTGTCCCTGTAACTGCGGGTGTCCTTACACGGCTGTGTGTCTGCAAAGCTCTGTGTGTTGGTGGACAACTTATGCATATCTCTGTGCTTTTGTACATATGAAAGTGTGTCTGTACCTGGTGTGTCAGTGTGTGTGAACATGGCTGCACGTCAGTGCGTGTGTCAGAATGTGTGTGTCAGTGTGTCTGTCCACGTATGTGCTGGTGTGTCTGTGTGTCAGTGTGTCTGAGTGTATCAGTGTGTCTGTCCGTGTGTGTCTCTGTGCATCAGTGTGTCTGTCTTGGAGTGTGTCAGTGTGTCTGCTCATGTGTGTGTCTCTGCATCAATGTGTCTGGGTATGTGTCAGTGTGTCTGTCGTGTGTGTCTATGTGTCTGTCTATGTGCACCAGAGTGTCTGTCTGAGCCTACATGCTGAGGCAGGGTGAATGTGGGCGGCTGGTCAGTGTCAGGGCCACTCACTGGCCCATCTTGGGCTCCAGCCCAACTCTGCCCAGCTGTCCAGCCAGGCCAGGGGAGGGGTGCCCAGAGAGCAGGGAGCCCCCATGTGCAGGCCTCGCCCAGCTGTGGGGTGTCGCTCAGAAGCATGGAGGAGCAGGGGCTGTCCTGAGGCCCACTGTGGCCTGGCCGTCTGCAGGCCCTCTGCCCCCCACAGGCCGCAGCTGGCCGACTCTGAAAACAGTGAGGGAGACCTCGTGCTGTGTCCTCGACGTGCCCTGGTGTCCTGGGGCTCCTCCTCTGCATGTGCGTGTGTCTGTCATGGATCAACGCCCTGCCCCTCTCCCATCCGAGCTTCCTATCAGTGTGTGTGCCCATGTCAGCGCACACAAACAGCCCACCACCCATCAACCTCGTCCTGCTCAGCTCTGTCGAGCATTGA